AAGGCCAGCATCAGGGCAGGATGGGCTGATGAAGTCTGAGTAGATGCCACAGCTCGTAGCTTTGAAGACCTAAGGACGCAGCGTAAAGGGACATGGAACCAGGGCTCAGTATGCAGATTTTGCTCCATTATGTTTCTGAGCTGTTTTTTCTCTTTTCACTCCCAGCTATGGAAGACGCCAAAGCTGTTAAATATCAAGCATGTATAATGGGAATCCCATGAGCTGGGGGAATGGCCAGGATTCAAGGATATGTCCAGAGCGGAAAAAAAAAAAAAAAAAAAAGAGAAAAATAAGAAAGAGAGAAATAAGCATAGAGACGTGGGTGGAAGCAGGGAGGAGGGGGAGAGCTTAGACCCATGACTTCTCTTTGGTTGCTCTATTTTTTTTGAGGTCACAGCTTAACAGCACTAGAGTTTTATTGCTGTTTATACTATTGTTATTATTACATTATTTTCTTTGGGTCCTGAGAATCTATAATGAACACAGCCCCTTTTAAGCTGAATGCTGCACGTGAGCACACAGACACACCACTGCCCCGAGCTCTCCTGGGGCAATCTCCATGTTCTGCAAGCTATGATTTGGGCAGAGCACAACTCATTCTCAGCCCAGGACCAAAGGAAGCAGGGGTCACCCTGGCTTTGACACCTTCCCATAGAACCATGGCACTGGAGGAGCCTTGTCCTGACCACAGAACACTGCACTGCTTTCCATCAGAGACAGCTCCCTCCTGGGCACAAGGCTGTGTCATTAGTGCAGTGAGAGCAAAAAGCAGTTCCTGGGGGCAGCAGGTTTGTGCTCCCTGTGCATCCCAAGCTGGGTGTCGAGGTAGGGAGAAGATAAGAAATGAGATGAGAGAAGGGTGTGTGATACAGTGCTTTTCAGATGATGTCTCTGACAATTTGGCTAGGATCTCCTTATTACACAGGATTTTACTCAAACCTCAGAGAATTCATACAAAATATATAGACCATAGAAAACTGCCTTTTCTATGCGACTTGCATGCGCTTAATATAGGACACAAGATGAAGTGGGAAATACCACCACTGCCCCAAGCCACCAGAGCTGCCAGCATTAGATATGCAGGCTACGCATTAGGTGCAGAATGCTATGAGGAATAGGAGGGCAATGGGATCACTAAGGACCTGGCACTCTCACATTGTAACAGCCAGAAGCTACTGGCATTTGCACCAAAGGGATCATGAATGCACTCAGCAAGGAACAAATTGTTTGGGTCTGCTCCTGCTTTCCACCTGAGGTCTCTGATCCCATTCCGTTCTGCCACTGTCAGTTGGGATCCTTGGCTACCTAATTCTGAAACCACTCCTCAGTATTTTCCAAATATATTCTTTCTTTCTTTCTTTTGTTTAGCAATTTCCACAGGCCTTGGAAAAGCAAAGATTGCAGGAGAAAATCCTCTGGAAGGGGTAACAGTAGAATGAGACAAAAAAGTTCACAACAAAGAAAGATAAACTGAAGTTACAACAGTTCATGGTACTTCACTCAAGATTGAGCTGAACTGTGCTATTTTTAAGCATTTTCCTTGAAGTAAATACTATACTCTGCATTTTAGAGATGGCGGAACTGAGATACCTGGGCAAAAAAAGTGCTCTGCCCAAGGCTATAGAAAATGGAGGCAGAACTAGGACTCCAACCCTGATGCTGTGTGCTCATCCTAAAGCTCTCCCTTGGAAGTCATAAACTTAAGTTTAAGAATCACTACATATGAAATATACTATGAAATTTTGGCTTGAGGATGCTCATCTGTCACTGTTCACAGGGAAAATACTTTTAAAACAAGATGAGTTCACTATTAAAATGTTTAATTAAAAACAAATAAAAAGCTCTCAGCTTGCAAAAAGCCTGGCATGGCTGTGGATAGGCTGCCAGAAAAGGCAGCAGTTCTTCCCTTCCCATTCCACTTTGCCTGAGTTTGTATAGAAAACACTATGCAAAAGGAGGTGGGCAAGAAGAAGAGCTATTTTTATTTCCTCAGCCACTTAGCTAAGAAATGCATCCAAAAATGCAGCTTTGCTCAGGTCTGTCAATTCTCCTGAAAAGGCTCCTCCTCCATTTGTTTCTGCTGGTTTGCTTCACTTGCACAGGTGAACCTGAAGTTCAGTCGCTGCTGAATCCCTGATGGAGCCATTTGATCTCAGCACAGCTCTGATTAAACAAGCGGCTGTTTTCGGCCCATCAGTCAATGTCAAATCTCAGACTGAGAGACAAGCACACCACGAAACCCCATGGCTTCGGCCCTGCTCCCTGGCCAAGCCCTGAGCATCAGCACCGAGGTTGCATTTCTGGAAGCTTTTTATATCCCACACAACTAAAGGAGGTGGGGAATCCCCTCACGGTGTACCAAAGAAACCCACTTTGGAGCTGCATTGTCTCTTGCACTCTCAGATTCATTACAAAGATTTAAGAAATAAAGGAACAATTTAATAGGATGACGAGATGCAGATAAATCTACTGAAAAAAAGACAGATATTTAGCAACACAATAAGAATCACTGCCTCTTCCAAAACCATCTCTCTTCCCTTACTTTCCTGAAACCACTTCCCCCTTTTCAGGCATAAGTCCAGAAGGAGAAAAATGATATTTTCCCCCCTTCTTTTTGATAAAATAATCCATTTTACTGCTTCAGACAAGCCGTTATTCATCTTGAACCTGTCCATCCCTCCCACTGGGAGCACCAGATTGATTTACCAGCTAATCCAGTTAGCAGCTCCTGCCAGCCACAGCATTCCAACATCCCCTAATACAAAGCAGAGGAAAAACTGCATACATACCTATGCGGGTGAGACAGAGAACACACATATGCTTGTACACGCGTGTGTCTCCGTGTGTGTTTTTAGGTCAGAAAGAGAGAGAAAGCCACCAAGAAGTTACGTTAGTTCAAAATTTCTGGCTTGTATAAGAAATAGTGTTGCCAGCATGAGCAGGGGGTTAAAAACAGATAATCATTATGATCCTTTTCAACCCAGGCCATTCTATGATTCTATGATTATCCCCCTGTACTCAGCCCTGGTGAAGCTGCACCTTTAGTACTGTGTTCTGTTTTGGGTCCTTCACTTCAAGAAAGACTCTGAGGCCCTGGAGCGTGTTCACATTAGGGCAGTGGAGCTGTGAGGGGTCTGGAGCGCAAGTGTTATGGGGAGTGGGAAAGGGAACTGGGATGGTTCAGTCTGGAGAAGAGGAGGCTCAGGGATGACCTTATCCCTCTCTACAGCTCCTGAAAGGAGGTTGTGGTGAGGTGGGGTAAGTCTCTTCTCCTATGTAACTGGTGATGAGAGGGAATGGCCTCAAGTTGCACCAGGGTGGATATTAGGAATAACTTCTTCTCCAAAAGAGTGGTTGGGCACTGGGATGGGCTGGCCAGGGAGGTGGCAAAGTCAGTGTCCCTGGACAGTGTTGTACTGCCAGACATGGTTTAGTGGGAAATATTGGTGGTAGGTGGACAGTTGGACGAGATGATCTTGGAAGTCTTTTCCAACCTTGGTGATGCTGTGATTCTATGATTCTAAGTTTCTTTTCACTCTCACAAAAGAACAAAACTTCCAAGCTGAGAAATGGAGAAGCTCTAGCAGAAGGTTTATTCCTGCCCACCAACAATTCCCTTCCCTTTCCCTGGGGTCCAACAGTTGGTTACATTACAAAAAAAATTCCAGATTCCAGTTCCTTGAAAGTAAGACAGGACAGTTGGTGTGGCTATGAAGAAAAGGTTAATCTATTTGGAAGACCATGTAAGAAGCAGAAGTAAGGACAAGCGAAGAGGATGCACATGCAAGACAGGCATGGGTGTATCTGTCAGAGATAGCACGCATGTCCTTGCTGAGCGTGGGTATGTGTCAAAGGGCCTGGATGCTGTTTCAGGCACAAGGGGCTGTACAAGATGGCTCCAGATCGGTGGGTCACCCCTCAGCTGCTAAGCCCTGCCACTCTGTGTTCGTTATTCTTTTACTGAGAATTGCTGTAGCCATATACCGGGAAGGTAGAAAAGCAGAGAAGAGCACTAAGTGGGAAATGAGCAAGTGTCACGAAACAAAATCAATAGCCTGGAGCCAAAGCTGTTTCTCTCCCTTTCCTGTCTCTGATTTGTGTATGTGCATGTGTGTGTAACTGCAGGGTGTCTTTACCTCCTCCATTCTCTTCTTTCCCCACCACTGCAAACGTTGCAGAGCATGATAATGAAAGCTGGTGTCCAAGCCACCAGACAAGCCCATCACTGCAATCAGAGCAACTGCGAGAGATGGCAGCCTGCGGGCTCATCAAGCTGTCCTGACACCGGCCAGCCTCCTGCACATGAAGATGCCAATCTCGCCTCTCTCCCATTCCTCTTTGGCAGCCCAGTCTCCTCACCCTCCTCCTGCTGCCACGCTCCCCTCCTGCCCTCCCCCTCTGCTCGTCCACGCACAGCACCAGGAACGCCAGCCCGGGCCACATCCCAGCCGCTGTCTCTTAACGATTCTGATAGAAAATGCCCAGCAGGCTGAATCTTTCCTAGAAAAGCAAGGGGAGGTCGGAAGGCATATGGTTGCTGTCCTCTGAGCTCCGGGTGACAAGGTCTGTGATGCTGCATCGTTCCCAGGCAGAAAAGGGAAAAAAAGAGAGGGAGAAAGAGAGAAATATCGCCTGCTTGGGAAATCACAGGCTGCTCCCTGCAGTAAGCAAACCTCTCTGACCCCGTGCCGCACTACTGGGAACGTATCACACCACGCTGGCAGAACAGAGGCTGGCACTGTCCTAAAACTGGAATTTAAAAGTGCACAGATACTGAAATCTCTCAGTGTCCTTTAGTAGAGTCATGGTCTGCCCTACCCTTGGGAGAGAGCAAGCATCTGTCTGCCTCTCCTCCTTGGCCTAGAATCAAGAGTTTTAGCACATTTAGGTCCAAAGACAGCAAAATATCCCTGTATCTTTGCAACTTCTGTTACCATTACCGGCAGATATTTTGTCTGGTTCTGCTCTTATTGTGACTTAAAACTCAGATGGAACCAACAGTTACCTGGCAGTCCATGCAGCGAGCTGGGCTAAATGTCTGGGCTGTGGTTTGTGGAGAAGAGATCACCACCTGTGGGGAGATGAAGGTAGGCACTGGGCTGCACTCCTCCCAGGGCTCACTCTTTCATCAAACAACTGAATTCAGAGGCTGCAAAGATTCAGGACAACACTATTTCCAAGTGCTTTGTAGAAATCATTGCAACAAGCCCTGCCCTACTCATCCGTACCATTGGCATGGAGGAAAGTCTGCAATTCCAGAATGCATTTTGACCCTAGCTATAGAGTAAGTATAGGATATTACACTGCAGGACTTCTACAGGGCTGTCTTTCAACAGCAGCATGTTCTCATAAAACACAGAATGGAACTACATGCATTTCCTCACTAAATGAGCACAAGGGCTCCTCTTTCATACAAATGAGTTCTCTCAACATACGAATTCACTGATCTCTCTTGCTACACCAACATAAAGCTTCTTTCCAAACCATAGACCTCACCTTTAATAATCAATATTTCCTTTCCACTTGCTCAGTTTTCAAGGTCATATGTTGAACAGATTAATCACACTTTTAGAAAATCTCCTTTTCCTAGACTGATGCTAGCACCGACATTATGAGGAATTTAAAGCAAAAACACACTGAACAGGGCTTGTGTTTGTCTTACCAATGGAATCCTGGGCCAAAAAAAAGAAACTGCTGTTTGTCCAGAATAAAAAAGGCGAATAAAATTATTTCCAGGCTTTTAAAGAAGCTGTTACACATAGCAAAGTAAAACAAAAATTACTTGATGACAGTGGCCTTTTACAGCCTTACAGAGAGCAGGCGCACTACAGCGTAAGCCAAACACTCTCTATATTCTGCTGCTCTTCCATGTACTCCTAGGTCCTGCTTTAGAAAAATGGCCATTCATGGTCATGGTACTTTATTTGTAACACAGAACAATTACCTGTAATCCTAGATGCTATCATCTCCATTGATTCCATACAGTACCTTTTAAAAATATTTATCTAAATGGAATTTCAGAATGCGGTAATACTAGCCTGCATTTGGAAGGCAGTGCTCACTATAAGCAGCATGAAACAGAAGTTCAAGAACTATTTGTTGTCTCTCTTTTAAACACAAAATTCCTCTATTATCAACATGATTTGTATCCTAAAATCAGAGAAACAGAGTAGTTACACAAGGTGCCAGTGAGCACCATCACCTCTAGGAAAGCTGTGGCTAGCCACTGTGCTAAATGAGATATCTGCTGTAACAGTCAGAAAGATCAGCAGGATGGAATGGTGATACAAGAGGTGTAATGGCACAGGGACCAGTACAATAGGAAGATGTTACAAAAGGAAAAGTGCTCCCCTGTCTCTGAAAATCTAGGCTCATAATACAATCACCACAGTCTAGGGAAGGATCTGGCAGTCAGCTCTTCAATGAGGTCTAAAAGAGGTGCAGCCAGTGAAGGTGCAGCCTTCACCTGTGCTCTTATGGCTAACCAGGTCCTTTTCCCAGGTGTCAATCAGTGGTTCAGGCCAGGACTCAACAAATACCGTACATCTGCTGTAGTTGAGCTTGAGCTACAGTCTCTATGCCTACATTGGGAATGCATTGGTTTGGACAGCATTGATTCCAGCAGAAGGAAACAAGAGTCTGTCAAGCATAACAGCCCAAGTCTGTTCAGTCTCAGTGTAAGATGGCCCTAGGGTTCAAATATTTCAGCACTGATACCGATTTGAAAGGGAGCTGTTTCCTTGAAATGATTTAAATGGAGATATCCCCACTGAAAATTTTCAGTGAGATTCTTCATGTGAGATTCTACATCATACCAGGACCACGTCTCTCCAGATGTCACAGGATTCCTGCCTTGATTCAGCCTTCATCCTGGAGTCTCTGTGCCCAGCTCTGGAGCCCATCAACTCTGGAGGACCACTCTACAGTACCACTCCACTGTTGACCACTGTTTTACTTTCGACAGCATTTTTACCCAGTATCACATCTAATAACTCCAGTCATCCCCTTTCTTGGAGGCAAATAAAACTTACTGCCTTTCTGTGGCAGACAGGTACATTACTCACAATGAGCTGACATGAGATGGAGAAGGTCAAACAGTAATGAAGTGGCAGTGGTTTGGAGTAGAACCCAGAAGTCCGGTAGTCCAGACCCTGTTTAATCTACTAGACTTGGCCAAAACCAATTTTTATGTTTCAGAAGGAAAAGCAGAAGAGGAACGACTGTGACTTATCAAGTGTCTAAAAAGAAGTAGGGGGAAAAAAAACCAAGTGTGCTAGGCTGTCTGACTATTACAAAATGGTGAGCACTTCTGCATCCATTCCTCTTGCCATGTCACTAAGAATTACAGTCTGCCTTCAATGCCTAAGCACATTGAGAACATATAATAATAATTATAGTGTCAGAATTCCCTTGGAGATCTGAGCAAGATCTTGTTTCCTAAAGTAGCTCAGGGAGAAGAGACCGTGACTACAATTTGCCCATTCTTTCATAAGCACTAAAAATGTGGATGTGTTTTCAATTCCCGTTGAAGGGGCAGAAAGGAGCCACCTGTGCAGTGCTGCTGATAGTAACAACATGTTTGTGACACCGCAGTGAGGGCATGTGACAATGGATTCTGACATTGCTCCATAATGGAGGCCCTTAGATTTGGCAAGAGGAACAAATTTCAAAGTCTAGAATACCTGAATGTGTCTGAACGCTGCATCTCAACTTGGCAAGCCGGTGGCTCATTTCATGCTCAGAGTCTTCCATTTTAATGATTTCTCCATTTTCTGCTCTGCTAGAGTGTGACCACACCACTTGCCAAGGAATTTCAGCTCCCCTTGCTTTCAGAGGGGAATGCAAGTTCTCTGTCCCTCCACGAAGCACTGCTCCCTTGGAGGCTGCCCAAAGAAGCCTTCAAGACATGCACAGCTCCTGCCTACCAGTGCCAGATCTCTGCATGCTTTCTGGGACAGGAATGGGTTAAAGCTATCAGGGCAACAACAAAAGCAAAGATCCTGAACATCATTTCATGCAAATGACCTTTCAGTGGCTTCCTGTTCGTTCACTGTGCTCTTGTCTGCCAGGGCCCCGGGGCCTTCAAAACCTGCGGCTAGATTTTAACTCATCTCCCCTTATCTGCTTGACTGACTGTCAGCCTCGCACATCTCCCTGCTTGTGATGAAGGCCTTAATTAGTGCTTGTCTGTTTACCCTTTTCCTATTGCCACCTCTCTTTTCCTCTCCCTCCCGCTATTCTTCTCCTTTCTCTCTCCCTCTCCCATCACCCTCGGGCTTGTTTGCTTAGCTGGGCAACTCTTGTTTACTCAGTAGGGAGGTTATAATATATGTAAATAAAGTGAGCCAAAAGTCCATGGAAAGTAAAAATATAGATAAAGAAATATCAACACAGAAACATATTTTCACCTTCACTGTTAAAGCTGGCCTCTCTCTTTTTTCTAGCAAACAAAACATTTTGCTGCCTTTTGAAATCAACAGCAGTTAGGGAACGGAGCTGCTTCCCCCCCACACACTTCCTGTCTTTGGAGACTTTATTATCACGAAACACAGACAGCAATGATCACCTACTGCCCACCTGGCTCGGTGTTTCTGGAGAAGACACTGCCCACTTCAATCATCTCAGGTTTCCTGCTTGGAGAGGACATCAAGAGCTGTGGAACCTGTCCAGTTTCCAAAAGATGAAGGGACATAAGATGCACGAAGATGAAGCAGGTTTCTCCTCCTTCAAACAATCCTGCTGGCTACCAATGTGCCATAAAACTATCCAAAGAAATTGAGAACAGAAGAAAAAAGGCTTGCAAGTCAGGCTGAGCACCCAACTTCCTAGCATTAGCTCTCATTTTTTTTTTAGAATCACACAGTCATCTTGCTGCAGAGGTCTGGTCAGTACATAACTGCAGTCTGAAGCCCTCAGACAAGATCTCAAGGCAGAGACAAATACTTAGAAACCACAGATGCCTTGAAGATTTCTTGAGCAAGCCAAAACACAGCATGGAAGATAAAGCCAATCTCATGCAGCAGTTTACTGTCAGCCTCAGAATCAGAGCCCAAACCTTCTGAACACCAGACTAATTCTTATCCATCAAACTTACCCTCTATATGGACTGTGCTGTAAAATAACACAATAAAACTTGCCTGCTTCCTACATCCATTCAGCAGACAGGCCTGGAATGCCCTGCTCTCATGCAGTGTCTCTGCCCCATGCCCCAGCCTGCAGATGTCTTCTCCAGGCTTTCTGTTGTTTGGCACCACAGGAAGCCTTTGGAAAATCTGTGCCAAAGAAGTCCTATCACTAGGACTGCTTACAGTGTGTTTTATTATGTGTCCCCTCATGAAACAGCTCTCCATAGACAAACTGCTGAAAAGCTTTGATGGAAACAAGACAAGTCAGTGCCCTTCTGCAGAGGAAGCAATGACAAAATCAAGAACTTGTGATGCTGAGGATAGGTGGCCATGGTTTACACATCTTCCCAATAAGCCGATGACCAGAGCTAGCCTGGGCGGTGAGAATTACACCTTATATCCGTTGATAATGGGATGCAGCATGCATTCCTGCAGTGACATCAGACAGCTGGGAAATCTTACCTGCAGAGTTTCTCCTGACACATTCCTCCCTAATAAAAGCTGCTTCATGCCTGTAATATGGCTCATAAAATTTGCTTTGTAGCTAGATGTTTAGCACAACTTCTGCAAGGCTTACAGGAAAGCGTGTAGGTGTTAGGATCAAAAGAGGACCCGTAACTGTTCACGCAAACACATGATATGGGCTGGAGTTCTGAGCTGCTCGGGTCCTTGCCAAAGGAGTTTCAAGACTTACCAGACTTTGCAGGAAGTAGTAAAGCTCAGTGGCTGCCAAAGAGTAAAGGACAGAAAAGAACGGTTCTCCCATTAGCAAGTAAAAGCCTTTAGATTTAACAGAGTGTCAGGCTCACATCATGTAAGAGAGGAAAAAGGGGAACTGGATTGAAGAAAGTAGGGAAGGAAGCATGGAGAAAAGTGGAAATGAAGAGAAATAAAGCAGAGGAAAACCTCTCCTCTCTCTGAGAGTGGATTAGCAGGATAGAATCATTCATATTTGTGAATAACTTACACGCTGTAGTGGAGTCTGGAATAGACAGAGATGGGGATTCTGAGGTGAGGAAGAAAGGGAAAGACAGACAGACAGACAAGAAGACCTTAGCATAAAAGAGAGAAAGGAATGTGGTAACACAGGGATAGATGGAGACAGGGCTGGTGAATGTCCAGAAGACAGTCATAGGCCTGGCCAAACATGTCCTGACCTATACAGCAGCTCAGCTCCATACACAAGGCAGACTGCTGGTCCAGATGCCGGGCTGTGCCACTGGCTCCCAGGCAGTGCAGGGCTCATCCCGCTCACTGCAGCTTTCTGGGACCTCACTGGGAGTAAGATCCTCACAACAGATCCAGTGAGGTTAACAAGAACAGAGTAGAAATATCAAGGGAAAGAAACAGAGCCAGTAATATTTCTTGTGACAGTTTGTAATATTTCTGGGTTACTTCTTGAAGACTTGACATTTTTATGCCTAAATCTGTCAGTGGATCCACTCCCAGCTATGAACGGCTCATGAATCAGAGATGCAAGGTCATTTTTAATTGGGTTGAGAGATGTTTCAGGGTCAATTTGCAAGTATTTGTAAAAGGTGAAATTTTAGAGACTACTTACTCATTAACGGGGTGTGTGTGCAGGCAAACAATTAACTGCATTTTAAAAGATGATCAGGATTGCTAGCTGCCTGTTGAGGCCTGAGCTTTAAGATCTCCATTTGTCCTGATAGTATCTTCTAAGGCCTGAACATTGCAAGAGGTTGCGTCACTCTGTGGATTTAAATGTTAGTGACATACTAGGTGAGAAACACCACATCTCAATCATAGGGTGAACAGAGCAGGGATCCACTCATTACAGGCAGTTATTTCCTCTTTGCCTCTAAGGTTCAAGGGCTGGAGCTTCCTCATCCTAAATCCCACATTCTTCAGGTCTAAGAACGCTGAAAGCACTGACATCAAAAGGAAAAAACAGACAGAAAATAAGTCCTCGTGCATGAGCTCTTTCTTGACCCAGGGCCTCAACATGCATGTGATCCTAAAAAATATGTAACTGAGCAGAAACATACCACCAAGCTCTATTTTACAAACAGTGAGAACAGACCTGCATGGACCGAGAAAAGATTAGAGGAAAAAGGGAGCAGAAGAGTCCATCCCTCCTCTCTGCTCACCTCCAGGCAGTCAGGGAAGCTGTTATGGGACACATGAGCAGGATTAACACTGGAGCTCATGTGACAAAATAAATATCGTCTGGCCACAATCTCTTGACATGGGTTGGGGTAACCAGGAATTGTACAGACAGCCAATAAAGGCTGTCTCCAAGAGTTGCTTTTACATTTTTCTCCATTAAATAAATAAATAAATAAATAAATAAATGAATAAATGAATGAATAAATAAAATGGGTCAGTTGCAACTAAAACACAGCATCAAACAAAAGCAACAAACCCAGCCTGATACAACTAATTAGGAATAGAAATAACAGACATAGGGATTTACATTATAAAGCAAGGCAGCAGCCCTGAAACCCACCATCCCCTTTCCCTGACAGCTGACAAAACTATTCTGCCTTGTAGTGGGCATCTGCCAATACCTACTGCCTCTGAAGCAGACATCAATGCTTTGCTGACCACAGAGCTACTTTTATTTACCAGGTACTGCCATACAGCCCAGGAGCTTGTAATTCCCAAGACGACATGCAGTACAGATCAAGGGGGCTGTTGTCCCTCTCCTGTCTCCCCTTGTCTGCAAGGAGTTCACCAAAAATGAAAACAAACAAAATAATAAAACCAGCATAACTTTCAGAAATGACACTCTAGAATATTAACTGTAGGGCTAAAAATGAGTTGCCAAGTAAACCCCACAGAGGATACTTGCTTAAGTGCAAACTAGAACCTTCATCTTTTATTTCTCCAGAGCTCCTGGATGCAATCCATTTGGTTCTCACTGAATACTGCTTCTTGACATGCAAGTGTCTCATCGTTATTACCTGAAAAGAGTTCAGCTGCAGCAGTAACTACTGCCAGCATCTGCTGGAAAAGAAAAAAAAAAGAATATTCAGCTGCTCTGAAATATTCCTTTTCTTTCTGACTGCTTCCCTTCCTCATGCAGTGATCTAAAAGATGCCCATTAGCCCTCGATTCACACTCTCCTATTCAAAAGCTTAAGAAGTTTCAGAACATGTTCCATTCTTCAAATTTATTCTTGTGGCTAATAAGTACTCCAGACCAAACAACACACTCATCAAGTTAACTTTCCATATACACTAAGTGCAGTTAACAGGAGCCAGGCGAGCTCACCTTAACACTGAGCCATAACATCACTAAAGAAAGAGATGCTTCATTTATTTTGCTACTTTTTCCTCTCAAATCATGTATTTCCTCTATTCATATTACTAGGTCTCTATTTACATAGCATTTCTGAATCCTATTGAATAATGTTTTACTTTTGCATTTCTGTTTTACAGCTAACAGTGGTGATGTCTTCTATACTCAACATTCTACAAGGACTGCTCTGAAAGTAATGCCTCCTCTTTTATGATGTTGGCCCATGAAGTCAGAGGCAGATGCTGGTGGCATGGCAGTAGGGGTTGAACCTTCCCACCAATATCCCATTACATTTTGTTGATGTGTGGCAGATGTCAGCAGAGGGGAACACATGGAAGTGTTCATGAAGCAAATGGGTGGAATTCAGTTCCTCCCTGTGGAAAAAAATGGTACCCACTGGCATTCACTGATGGTTGCTGAATGGTGATGGAGACCAATCAGTGGATGTAGCACAGTGAGGGGTGGGTGGTGCCTTTCAGCAGTAGTGACAGTGGCAGTGGGTCACCTCTGCTGGTGCAGACTTCTACGAGCACAGCACGCAGCTCTTGTTCATTGCTGGTGAAAATGAAGAGCTAATGGTGATGACTGTGCTGAAAAACAGTGTTTTGTAGCTGAGAATGTACTCTATAAATTTGTGTTATTGCATTCTTTGTATCTGTTGTAGTTTCTATGGAAATAAATAGGAGGCATTACATTCAGAGTGACCCACATCATTTCACCAACCTATAGAAATACATCTAAACACAACCATATTCTTTCAGAAGCACTTGGGAATGTGTCAAAGCCCCCATCTCTAATACGTTTGGTGTATTTACTATCATTTAACAGTTCAGAGTTCTTGCCAGCACTCCATTTACAAAGAGTGCATGTTCACATATTCTCAGACAAAGCAGAGCAGGACAGCACCACTGGGTTCATTTAGAAAGTTCAAAACAGATAAACACAAAAGCTCTCGCACACAAGACTTGATTAAACTGGGACACTCATTGCTACAGGAGCCACTCTTACATCCATTTCTGAAGTGCTGGTTATTGGACATTCAGAAATGAAACAAAGCAGCAGTGGTCTCTAGGGCTGTCTTATCGAGTACTTCTGCCCATGCCTTACCCCTGAGACACAAGGGTCTTCCCTCCAATGCAGCCTGGCAACAAGCACAAGTTCTATATTATTTTTAACATTTAATCACTAAAAAATTGTATTAACACTGCTGGACTGTGAGACAGGCTTCTCAAATGGAAAATGTTCCACAGCTCTGTCTTGTAAAGATCAGCCACAAGCCATTGCCCTGACTCCACAGTCTCCAGCAGAAGAAAAATGCCAATTTTTCTATACTAATTAATGCTCACCAGGGCAAATTAAAGAGGACAGTTATTGCACAATGCGCCACTTTGAACTTCTACAGATGTCTGACAGCCCTTTGCAGACACACAGCCAGCAAGCTCTGCAGTCCCCCTACCAACCAAGCACAAAGTCCCACTGCTGGGTTTTCTCTGGGAGGAGGTACATGATGTAACCAAAGGAAGAATAGAATGAGCCTATGAGCGGGCCAGGAATAAAACCTGTATCTACTGATGCTCAGTTTCAGTGTCTCCATGGCAGTGCGATGCCAGGGCTGACATTATAGCATGCATTAACCTTCTGGCTTCTACCCAGCACACCACACAAGGAGAGATAACCCATTTGCTACTGCTGGGAATGATCAAGGGCAGAGGGCCTGATGCGAGCAGCGGATCTAAACATGCACACTGTTGCGTCTGTGCTGGTCTTCCACTGCTCCAAGAGAAGGCAATGTGCAAGCAGTGCTGACTGTACCTAGACTTTGTTTTTTGGCATGAAAAGAATACAGCTAAATAAAGCAAAATACTCCTGGATGGTGCCAGTTACACAAAGGAAGGCATACCCAGTCACATCTAGGATCATAGAATCACAGAATGGTTTATGTATCTCAAAGATCATCCAGTCCCAACCCCTGCTGTTGGGCTGTTTGCACCCCACTGCATCTGGCTGCTCCATCCAGCCTGGCCTTGGGCCCCTCTGAAATGGCACACCCACACTGCTCTGGGCAACCTGTTTCAGATGGCTGTGAAGCCTTTGGGGCTTTATAACCTTCTGAAAATTCATCACATTTCTCTTGTTGTGAGTTATGGGAACACTCTAAGAGCAGAAAGCCATGGCACCAAAGCAGCAGCTGATGATTTAAAATCTCTTGAACAATTACACAGATCTGCAAAACAGAAGGATGTAGCTGGTTGTG